TGGATTAGTGATTCATTTAAAAATTAATGGAAAAGGCTAAAGTGGATGATGCCGTCTTTGGGGTAAAGACCTGAGACAAAGATAAAAAAAAAAAAGATAGGAGCGTGTGCCAGAGTGACTCACTTTGATTAAATCCACCGACGCTCGTGGTCATTTTATACAACCCTATTCCAGAAAATTCCCCCACCACCTTATTTAACCATGAAGGTCCTCGCACAACCAAAACTGTTTTAAAGGGTTTTTGCTGCCAGGGTCAGACTAACTTTCTGGTTCTAAAAATATAAACCCTTTTATATATGATATAAAGGTCGAGACAAGATACAATCTGTTTGGTTTTATGTTAAAAAGGTTATAAATCTAACTGCCTCCACTGTCCCCGCATCACACCAGCCCTGCCACTATCCAGGAGCATCAATCATAAGGTTAACACCAGTGATCTAAGCTCCGCCTCCTCCACAGACAGTTTTAACTTATGAACACAATGTGGAACAAAACAAAAGTAAATATATTTATAATCCTTCTGTATTTTTTTCCCTCCACAAGGTTAGTTTTGCCAGTTCTAATCTTTCTGCCTAAAAAAACCTGCAGTAACCAGCCTGGATACCGATGATCTCTGTGAGCTCTTGAGTCTGCAAACGAGTCGTCCGTTCCTCTGCTTCTCCTCAGCCTCTGTCTCAAAGTTTCAGAGGATTTTTTTACATTTCTAAACAAGTCAGAATCAGTTTCCTGTATTCAGTTAATCATACCCAGTGAATAAAAGCTGCTACATGATCTGACTGTTCTTTTTATTTCCCTCAGCATCTGAGAAGATTGTTTTATTTTAAGTTTCCTGGAAGCTGCTCTGTGACTGATTCAGATCAGAGATCCTGAGAGGTCAGAACATCTTTTGATCCTGACGGCTTTAACGAAGACTAAAGACGTCATGTAATGTCTGATGTTTTTTTCTTATTCCTACCGTGTTTCAAAGACTTTATTTGTGCATAGGTCCTCTGAGTTTAAAGCTTCAAATACTTTACAGAAATGAATTATCGCTCACAGATGGTGGCGGTTCAGCCTTTTCTCAAATAGATGTTACTAAAATAAAGCTAATAAAATGAGAAAGTTGTATTTTCAGTCTAACACAAAATGTAAATGCTTCCTCTGGCCTCTAAATATCTGACCAAAACTCAAGTGTGCAGATATATTCAACATAAAGTCAGAGCACTCGTCATTTTTAGGGTTTCCTTTTTGAAATATTTGATTTCCGTGTTCAAAMGGCTCCATCTGGTGTAAATTTGGAGAAATGCAAAAATAAATTCCTTGTTTTTAAACTTTCATTTTTAGTTTGATCAGGTGTAGAAAAATATATGATGAAGTGGAAGAAAATGTAAAAAAATATTCATGTTTTTAAAGTTATTATTACAGAACATTTAATAAATTGTGAAAACGTCAGGAAATATAAAACCTTGTGTTCACCAGGGATTTTGGTGTTTTTACTGAAGTCATAAAACTGATTTTATCTTCATATCACCGAAAAACGTTTGAAACAAATAAAGAGAATAGATGTATAATAGATGCATTTTATCC